CTTCGCTAGGAGGTCTCGCACTTCTCGCAGAAATCTGGCAACGATTAACACACATCATGCCACAAATCTCAGTGATATGTCTTCATCCAAGTGTCGAGAAAGTCCGAAGGGAACTAGAATCGAAACGCAAGAGGATATGCAAATAACATTCACATGCTCTCCCGAAATATGCGTTGGCATTGTCTTTTGGCCAATGCAAATATCAGAGCGCGTGGAGCTTTCTCTTCTGGAGCTGGAAAACCGACTTTCTGCTTCTGCTTAGCATTGCTGTTGACCTCTTAGAGTGATTGGAGATTTAACCGATCCAAGTTCGTATCATGAATCGTGATTTCGTCTGTTGATCCTGACGGGAACCATCTATCAATCCGCATTTATAATATCGAGATTCGGTGGAGGATGGATGGTGAGAATAAGAGTCTGAAAGCCCACCACGAAAAAATAATGCAAGCACCCTTCGTTAACATAAATATGTAAAGAAAATCGTTTCATTCCTAAGTATGATGGAGGGAAGGACGCTCGTTTATGCTCATTTGACTATATATTTGGTATTTGGTATGTATGCATCATAATTATGGCCAGCTACATAAAAAAAATCTCTTCCTCCATCTGTCTATAACATTAGGCCGAGTTCCAAACGACATCATGGTGTACTTTGAGTGAAAGTATGATACTACGAGGGGATGATGCAGATATCCATATTCCCGCTAAAACCGCCCGCTGTTTCTGCCCGTGTTCCACGTCTAAAAATGTACCAAACGCCAAAACCAGGAGAGCGAAATAATAAATAACGACTTAGAGCAATTGGTGAAAAAAAAAAGACATTGCTCTCTATCCAAGAAAAGAAATTCGAAGAAGAAAGCGTTAGGACATGCATATGTGAATCCCTTCCGGTAGGGAGGTTATATCGTACAATGAGATGGGTATCGACGATCGAAAAGGCGTTCTAGCCGTCAGATATGAAACAGGAGAGAGGTGCTCCAGATGTATGCCTCTGAGATGTTTCATATGGGGACGAAAATCGGCCAAAAATAGGAAAAGGCATCGTGTTCGTGTTCGTCCGCCTGCCTGATATGGCGACTAGACAAGCAATGCTGAGGTGAATTCCGTCCCAGGAGGTGCCGAGGCCAGCGCTTCAAGCGGGCCGTATGAATTTCAGAATGTCAATCTTCCGTGAACTCCGCGTGAACCCATTAGCCCGTATCGCGTACTCATTCTCCTCGTGGGTATCGCATCCAGCTCGCTATCCTTGGAGGGAAAAAAGACGTTGTGTCGTCGCAAATCCATCACAGTCTTGGTCTTTGGCTCTTCAGCTAATGACCACTCTGGCGCCCTCCTTGCCCAACACGCCACGTTCTTTGGGCTTGGGGCTGTTATTTCTCCCCTTCTTATTCCTCAAGAATCCAAACATGCCGCCTGACCCTTCGTTCTTGGCCTCGGCCGCGGTAGCAGCATCCTTGGGAAGTGTTGCATCTTGACGGGCAAGATCTGACCAACTGCCTCCGCCATCCAGTGTCACCTGCACTCCACCTGTCGGACTGGTAACTCGTTTGCTCATGGGCGGCGATCGAGGGACGTATTGAAGCTGTCCGGGGTAAGCAGCCTGTTGGCCCTGAGGAGGCATCCGACCATCGGCGCTGACAGTGGGTTCTACAGGGGGAGCTGGATAGGTCACTGGCGGCGGCTCGTTCATCTGCGTAGCTTCGTCTGTCGTAAGGGCCTGGGCCGCAATTGCAGCTGGATCGACGTCTTCGCCATGAATGGCCGTGAGCCTGTAGAGAGTCAGTCTTCCATTGTTGTGCGTTTTGGATGAAAGGAGAGCAACTCGACTTACTTCTGGTAGGCCGCAATGTTATAGTCAAACGGACGGAAATCCGTTTCAATCATTCTGTACAGCTCATCTTCGCGGATTTCCTGATCGGTGGCATCCTCCTTTAGCCTCTCCCTGGGCTTCTGTCGTCTTGCGCGAGCTTCAAGAGGGGCCTCTTCGAGTAGCAGCTCCTCCAAGTCGTAAGTTGCGTCAAAGTTGGTCTTGTCCGACGAGGGAACGAAAATAGGCTCGATGCGTTTCTGCTCGAGCAGATCGAAATTGATGGTTTTGAAGAAATCGTTGTAAATGAAGCTCTCCCATGTTGAGCCGAGTCGATTGTTGGGGTTCGGCTCGAGTGCGGCGCGGATGGCGTACAGACATGTCAACGAGACGGGGGGCTGCGTAACGGGATACTTTGGCTGAGAAAACTGAACCTGTTGGCTCAGCGAGTTTTCACTGTTGCCCTCAAATGGTCGCTGGGTTTGATTAGCCACAGAAATCTCGAAATCGCCATCGGGAGAGTTGCATCGCGGGAGCGGGAGCTGCGAAAGCATAAAAACCAAAAACATACCTTGTTATAGATGCACTCGTAAAACAAGACACCTAGTGACCACCAATCCGCACGAATGTCGTATCCCTTGCCTGAATAAACTTCCGGGGCAAGGTAAGCCAAGGTTCCGGATTTGCTAGTCATGATGCGCCCCGGAACGATGTCAGAAGCCACGTTCTACGCAAGGAGGCCAGTCAGCTTATCAGCCCGCGCAATCTCACAAATTGGATAGAAACCTACAAAATCGGTCAAATGGACGTGCCCCTCGGCGTCGAGGAGGACGTTGTCGGGCTTGACGTCTCTGTGGATGATGTTCTGGCTATGGACGTAGCGGAGGGCGCAACCCAATTCAGCTATCCAGAAACGGACGGCTTCCTCGGTAAAGGTCTTTCTGGAGATGTGGAATCGCAAATCGCCACCGCTCATGAGATCGACGACGAGATACCTGGGAGATGTCGTTAGCTTGGCGTCCAAGGTTGGGGGTCGTCTGACGTGGGTTGAAGGGGGCTCACATGTATTCGATATCCTGAAAGCTGTATCGCAAGTTACAGATGAAAGGATGGTTGACGTGCTCCAGCATTCGCCGCTCACGGATGATGTTTCGGACGCTTTCCGACTTGACAACTGTTTGGGATGTTAGCCGTGCTGTTTCTGCTGTCTGTGCCGTTGCAGCTGCACACCAATCTTGGGTGTGCAGCGAGCATCATGAATCCTCGTTTGACGGACCTTCATCTTTACGGATGTATTTCAGCGCAAACGCCAAGTTTGTGTCTTTGCGCTCGACGATGCGGACCTTGCCAAAGGCGCCTCGGCCGACGACTCGTAGCAAGCGGAAGTGGTTGAGGTTGGCTGTGATGTTTCGGTCAGGTCAGCTTAGAAATGACAAGAATGCAGCCCTCGTCGCTGCACCACGCGCCAGACACGTGGGAGGGGGGAAGAAGGAGGGAGGGATGCTGGAGGCAATGATTCGCTCGGGGGTTTTGCACGTACTTTCGCCAGTCAGGTCGACGGGCTTTCCCTGACCGTTGCCCATGATGAAGGCCTGGGGGAGGATTGGAGGGACAAAGTTGCAGCTGGATCGTTCAACGACGGCAAAGGCTCATGCTGTGGGAAATGGCAGTTTGTCTGCTCGGGTCGCTGTTCTTTTCTGCGGTGGCCGAGGAATCGGCAGGCCGGTGGGGGGGAATTTAGGAGTAAGAGGTATGGAGGTCGAGTCTGGTCGCAAATGGGCGGGCTAGCAGATGTGGATAGGCGGCGAATTGACCGAATTCTGATGGCGAGCTCGACCGTTGGAGTTCTGGGGCCCAATGCTGGCTCGTATCTGAGTTGGGGTATTACGGAGCGTCGTCCCGCTGTTTGCAACCGTTACTGGAGGTCGATGAAGCCGGCGATGATTGCTCTCGACAGGACAGGTATGGATGAAGAAAGGACCGTCGCGGGTTGGGAATAAGACGAGACGAAAGAGGATGAAAGCGTGGAGGATGCGTAAGAGGAAGAAAAGAGCCTGGTCGAGGAGAGGAGCGAAGCTTGCAAGGATAGGTGCACCGTAGAGGGCGATGATCAATGCTCGCCCCAGACTAGCCAGTGCACTGAAAAAGATGCGGGAGATTTGATGGAACGGGGGGGAGGTTAGCGGGCGAGGGCGCCCTGTATTAGTGGAGATGTGCGCCGGTAGAGGAGCGACTGAGCGCGGCCGTGGCGGCAATGCAGCGGGCAGCTTCAGCGCCTTTTAGTGCCTGTGCCAGCTAGAGACCTGCAGTGGTGCGGTGCAGGGACCCGTTCCCAAGAGTGGGCGCGAATTCAATGCCTCCAGTCTGGCTTGTGTGAGTCCGGCACATGAAGTTACAGGGCCTGGTTTCAGGGAAACACAGCAGGAGAAGATTCCATGTTAGTCGTGACGGACGCGGGCTTGGTTTGGTGCTGGCTGAGATTTGTGTGTTGTATTGCAGATTGATGCATCGTGGGAGTGAGACAGACTCCGGATGCGTTGATCTGTGTCCAGTACCTCGCAATGGATCAATGAATGGATGGATGACAATAAAGCGGTGGGTAGGGGGTATGTACTACTACTGCTAATACTCGCAATACACAAAGCTGAGAGAAGCAGAGGACTCGAGTCAATAAACTGGAGCCAATGCTTTGATACCAACCTGCAAAAGGCATGGGCTCCGGGATGACGCAAAGACGAGCTGGAGAGATAGTGCTCCGTACAAGTATACAAGCTGATAGCAATCAATAGTATTCAGTAACGAAGAGGACGAGGTCCTAGCAGAAATGGACCAAAAATGACAGACAGACAGACATGGCATGCATGGCAAGTCGACGGCACTTGCTCTGTCGAACCCTGCCAGTGGAATGGATGGTGCAGATATGGAGTCGTACGGAGTCGTCAAGAGTCGCACAGAAGGGTTCATACTAGCGGTGTGTCGCATCCATGACCAGCTTCTCGACGAGATGGACCACACAGAAGCCGCAGAGCAAGGGGCTACGAGTACCTACGGAGCACAACCAGGCGCTGTTGCGATAGGAAACGAGGCACACGAGTCAAAACCGGCCGGTGAGAGTGTGATTCTGCTGGTGTTTTGTTCGTGTTATGTTGCCCGATTCATCCATCGCAAGCTCACCTGCATGACGGGATGCGATGCGTGGGCTCACCTTGTTGGCTGTGCTCCAAAGATGGGGTAGCAGCAGTAGTGACACTAGCAGCACATTGGATGTTCCAATATTATTCCAGTACTCCTGCAGCGACACCTCCTACATCAATATCCATCTCATTTGATGCATCTCCTCGACTTGGACTACCTACATGTATATTGGCTGACGGCGATATCACCGACCACCAACGCACGGGAGACGGTTTGGGCTCCGGCGACGTGAGTCTTACTCGGACTTGCAGCTCGTATCAGCAACACCATCGTCCATCAAGTGTATGTAATTACCGGTACCTACGCTCCGTTGTGTGCGTGGTGTTGCATCGATGCGACTCCAGCAATAACTCAACTCGCAGCGCGTGCCCCTTTTGGGTGTGCAGCAAATGTATGCGACTGGCCAGCCGTGATTCGATGCCGCCGCGGGACCCAGTCTATTCAATGATTGATTCTGGCCACTCAATAGCCAAATTCACAGTCTTTTTTGCTCCGAGGCGTGGATTGCGGTTGGTGTGGTGGAGACGAACTACTGCGCGTACCACGTTGTCAAAGCTGGCCATGGAGCGGCCGGGACTTTCTGGAATGGCATTTGGAAGCTGACACTTGGACTCTTCTGATGTTCCTTTTTTGCTTGGCTTTTTTTTTGCCCCAGAAACCTGATGCCGTCAAATTGCCACCCGCCAAGAATCGGGATATGTATATGAGGAGATGGAAAAGGAGAGAGAGGGAGAAAGACTCCGAAAAAACATGAATGTCAACGAGTACTTGCTATACTCGTACACGGGATCCGCATAGCCGATACTATCTCGTACTTGGAGGAGGCTACCGTGGATTGGTATAGCACAAGATAACGAGTCAATAAGGCAACGAGCATCAATCAGTAGCCGGGTTTCACGCTCTGCCACTATTGCGAGCCCGGCCCTTTCGCCATGTCGTCCATCCATTGGTACATGTACGATATTATCAACGCACTCCCGTACCAGCCGCTTTGGCACTGTGGGGAGTGTCAAACAGAGCAGAACAGCCGCCTGGTCGGCGAGTCCGGCGGCGGATTCAGAGCTGACCAACGCTGGATTGTTCGCGGCCGGGGGGGCTCCAAATCGCCAAGCGAAGGGCATTAGTGACCGGCTAGCAGCAGCTCGTGGCGCCCATCTAGCTCAAGTGCAAGTACGCAGAGTTGGCTAGATAAGACGGTCTGCTCGGAGGAGATGGCCAAGAGGAACCTAGCTGGCTTTTTCTTTTTGGTGATGGGCCGCGACACGTGGTGAGCTGAAGGAGGGACTAACTGCGGGTATCGTTTTGAACAATGGATTGAATGGATTGATGGATGAATGGATGGATGTATGTATACGGAGTAGAAGGATCAATACAGTAGACAGAAGGATGGTAGTCTGTTGAATTGGCGAACCAGACGGCCGGTGCAGGTGCAAATGCAGATGCAGATGCCCACACCTCATCCTCATCAAATAGTAAATGCATATGCAGGGAGCTGGAGCTGGAGCTGCACTGTTTCGGCCACCGTGTCAGAGGTAAATTGCCCATTGATCCAACATCCAATTCTTCTGTCAATTGCTGAATAAACCTGTGCGACAACAAGCACGTGCGGCTCAATTGCACTGTGCAGCTGCAAACGACACGGCCAATCAATCGTCCTCGTCATGAGCTGAATCCTGGGCATTTTACAGAAACTCCCCAGCGCGCGCTGCAAAGAGCGGCGAGCGGCGTTTTGCCAAGTTCAATCTTGGCCGCGGCGACAGGATGGCCTGGCAAAAAGTCTAAATTGAGACGATCCTTCGCCTTGCGCGGATGCTTGCAGCTGATTTGATTTGCCTCCAAGCCAAAAATGTTGGTGCTTGTCACCCTTATTCGTTCAATTCAATATTACTGCATGTATCAAAAGCCCCGACTTACACACAGTGCTAGTTAGCTGGCCAGCCACTTTTTAACTGATCAGTCATATCAGCTTTCGCTCTTCCCCATTCATTCATTGCATGGGAGCCCTTTTATCCGGACTATTTCCTCGGTCCAGACACCAAATAATCAGCTCTTCAGTTTATAGCTGGCCGTTTCTTCTGCTTCGCATCCCTGCTAGCCCACGTGTCGCGCCGATCCCCAGTTGCAAACTCGCCGCTATCTGGAGCGTCACGAGACGACTCTCACAGACGCCGCGCCACACTAGGTGCTGCCCTTGGGCGTTGGTTTGCGCCGGACTGCGCTGGAAAATCGCAATGTCCCTTGCAGGCCGAGCTTGTGTACGGAGCACTTGCAGCAGCTACTGTATCTGAGCCCCCAAACTGTCACTGTAATCTGGTCGTGGACACGGGATAGATACAGGCAGCAGTGAGCTTAGTAGCCCTAGGTTTGCTTCATGTGCTTGCTTTGCTCTAGCCTCCTGCAAGATTATTATTGTTCCCCCGCGTCGTTGTGATGCCGGGCCACTCTAAGCCGGTTTCCGAAGCTGAAATCTATTAATCCATTACTCATGCTCTAGCACTCCCAGGGCCATTGTCGAGTAATCATGTCGATTTGACTGGGACTCGCTCTGACTGATTGAGGTAACTTGCCGTGCGTCAATCCACGCAGCCGTCGCTACGTCGCATCCAGATTACATGTACCGCCGCTTCTTTGGCTTGACCGCAACAGGCTCAGCGGTCTAGGAAGCTGCTTGCAGAAAGGACACACTCAATCAGCAAGAGCTTGAAGTAAGAAACAAAGATGGAGCAAAAGCGTGACATGAATCATATCTGGTGCCAATGGCTCGCGTCTCATCGTAGACAAAATAAATGCATATGCCGAGCAATAAGTTGCCCATCTGGGGTTGCAATGATACCATCTTGACAGGGGCAACGACGCCAGGAGGGACCCCAATGTCTCCATACTTCGGATATGTTGAGCGGACCCAGTACTGTATATACCCAATATACCATTCAATGCTACCTCTTTGTAGTATTTAAACCATGTATGTCTGCGGAGTATTCTATATATAAGTGGAAATCGTATATGGACTCTCCTGGCCGGTGCTTCATATGCCGTGACTAGCTCAGAAGCCGATCTGGCCCCCTATTTCCCCAGTTATAACGGAGTTGCAAGAGATATAATAGGATCTGCGACATACATTATTACTGCTATTGCCACTGCCGACATTCGGCTCTTATTACTGGTACCGGGGGGCTACCATAGATCTTTGTATTTCATATCTTGGATACATGTAGGGAAACCTCTGATGACTTGTTGGGGCACACAAAGTTTCACGGCACATGACACTATCAATGGACTGTTCGTGGACGAACTTAGCAAGATTGCAACGGGCGTAAAGAACAAGTTCAACCTCATCACAAAATGTAGAATGAAGGCAAGAAATAAAGGAGTGTTCAAAGCTTGAGCAACATTAGCCCTACAAAGGGACATACCAGACCATAACACATATTCACTTCTAGCCCAATACGAAGTCACCTCATTGTCTGTTATCTGGCCATATTGGGAAAGAGCCGTTTTCCTATCTCATCGAATAGTTCTTGTTGGTTAACCTATGTTATGAGCGGGACGACGCCAACACGTATCTTATTGCCAGCATCATCATGCAATTGTACGCTACCTCGATAACCAAGTCAAAGAAATATATATATATATCATACTTTTACATGATCGATCACGGAGCGGTATATATATCATGTCAGACATGCAGTTGACCTGATAGAAACAATTACCATTGAGTTAACCTGTATGCTCGGTTGTATGACTAGCAAAGAGGGCAAACAAATAAACGGTCTCAATGCAGCCGGGTTCGACTAATTCCATGGAGCCTATGGACGACCAGCCGGCCTCATTTCAGCAATGATTTACTCATTTGCAAGCAACCAGTTAGAATACCTAGCCTGGAGAACAGAAGGCGATCCGCGGTAGTGAAGTTCTCTGTGCATAGAGACTCAACCATGCTTACCACACTGGTCCTGCATCTACCAATTACAAAGTTGAAGCATGACATCTAAGCACTGTAAGATGCGGCATTCTGTTTTTAGAACATGCCATCTTGTTGGCGTACTCGGAAGAAATGCATGATTACCCTTCATATCTCCTCACAAGCAAATGATTCAGCCTCGCGTTTCAATATCAAGCACGTCCCGGCCTTACCAAAACATGTGCGTCGTCTCGAAAATTGAGTGGGCCAAATGTTTCCGATGTCGAATCGCCCGGATGTTTTAGCGGTCTGTTCGCTCACGGCCATCATATTACTGGTCGTACAACATGGGCATGCAGGACCCCATAGCATGCAGTGCACATACAGAAGCAAACTTGTTTGTTTCTACCGGCGGCACCTCCGAAGAAGCCCCTTTCCCATTACGAAAGCTCCGTGCCCATTACGGGAGCTCCGTAAACTGACAGTCCTGTGCTGCCGTTACGTTTCGATTGTTTGCAGTGCGCGCGCATAATGGTGATGCTTGAGAGAAGCGACGTGAGCACTAGGAAAATGCTACATGGACCGTGCTTGTGATTACTCGTAAAGGAAAGAAAGGAGAAACACTGACGATAGTGTCTGTGTATAACTTGGGGAAAAGATTCACAGCAAATTGATCATCCGGTTATGTCTCTTTGTTCATGGTAAACTAAGCGACTTGCTATTAGATATGGTCAGTTTTTCATGTTGGATTTATTCACTCCAATCTTATTAGAATGGAGATGCTTTTGCTGCTGTTTTCTAGAGAAGTTGTGTGTTATAAGCTCAAGTGGTTTTGCTATCAGTGTTAACTCCTGTTATCATGAGCCTTTGAAGGTAACAAGAAGTGATGAATATCATCAATGGGTTTGCTGAATGAACCGAAGCGGGACTATCTATGTATTTACTTGCTCCATTGAATCTAAAGCTGGCATCTATAAGCGACAAGCGAACACAAGACACGTGAAGCAACAGACTGAGACAACTACCCCACTACGATTACTACCTCGCATGTTGTCTCGATGTACAGTAGCCTTGTTTAAAGTTAAAAAGACAATTGAATTTAGTTAATGATCGCCAGTTCATTACAACGTGAATTCACCTTGTTGAGCCCGTTTAAAAGCATCGATTTAGTGCTGCGTGGAAACGTGATGACGTCAACATACATGTATGTTGACGAGCTTCACGAAGCGTCACAATGACCTCAAGTATTTCGGCAATCAAAAATAAATATAATAGAAAAAAAGCCAATTGAACCCATTTTGCAAAAAACATTGAAAATAAAACCATCATTCATATTTACCATGGCATCCAGCATTCGTAACCTCGCTCAGACTTCGCGGCGATGCATAACTGCCGTCCCGCGACTGTATCACACCTCCGCCGCCCTTCGACTCCCATACAAAGACTCCCAAGACCGCCAATCTCTCAAGCCTCAATCCAACAATGGCACGAGATCAGGCCGAGATGACGATGTTGCGGCGCAAAAGGACGCTGCTTTTGACCCGTCCAAGACGAAGCCGACTCCGGAGTCGGAAATGGAGACAGCGGGCCGCGGCAATGAGACGAACCCTTTGAATGCAAGCGGCGCGAATCAAGAGTTTAACAAGCCGATGGGAGAGGGAAAGCAGGCGCATGATACGGGCCCGGGTAAGGAGACGAGGAAGGGGGGGAGGAGTGGTGGAGGGAGTCCGCCGAAGAAAGGGAAGACACCTGGGAAAGCTTGAAGAGGGTGTAGATGCTGGAGAAGGGCTCCGATGAATATATGGCAATTGTTATAGGAGTTGGAATTATCATCAGGTATTTTTTGGGCTTATCAGGGCACATATATCCTATTCTGGAACCTTTGAGATGTATATCAAAGGCAATAACCTAGCTCAACAACCTCGCATAGTAACTCATGTTGCATAGATAAAAAACAGACAATCGAGTCAAACAAGGAACAACCAAGAATGTCATTATCGTACAATGTTCTTGAAGCTCTTGAGAATCGTTTGGAACCGCCACATCTGGGGAAACCCAGTAACGTTACACACGCCCTATGTATTAGCTCGGGACACGGCAGACCGAAGAGCTGAAGGCGGGGTACGATGTTATCGATCGTAATCATCCGATCGACAAGTTATATAAAACCGCTCTCTTTGTTTCCTAATTTAAATATCAACAAACCAAGTAAGGAAAAAGACCAAGATTGAGAGAATACGATACAAGGGCACTATAATAAGAAAAAGGGCAGAGAGACGTCACCATGACTCAGGCCAAGTTCGCCGTTTATCCCAGCCTCGTCGACCGCACCGTCGTCATCACAGGCGGTGCGCAGGGCATCGCCGCCGACATGGTCGAGCAGTTCTCACTGCAGGGCTCTCAAGTCATATTCCTCGACGTCGAGGACGAGCTTGCCGCTGATTTAATCCGAAAGGTGTCTGATCAGGGCGTCAAACACAAGCCCATATACTACCACTGCGATGTCATCAAGATTGACGAGGAGCTCAAACCTACAGCGGCCAAGATCCTGAAAGATCATCCCAGGATCGATGGACTCATAAACAGTGCCGCAAGAGCAATGGTGAAGCCCTCGCAGGACATCACGACTGAGTGGTGGGATGAGAGCGTCGCTGTGAACCTGCGGCATCAGTTCTTCTTGACCCAGGCCCTGCTGCCGGGGCTTCTCCTTGCCGCCGGAAACGCTTCGGTGATCAACATGGGGAGCATCAACTGGCTCGTCTCTGCGACGGGTCAGGCGCCTTACACGACGAGCAAGGCCGCCGTTGTGGGACTGACGAGGACGCTGGCACATGAGTTTGGACCGCAGGGTATCAGGGTGAATAGTATCATGCCGGGGTCCATTGCGACGGAGAGGGAGAGGACGGTGGTCATGACGCCCGAGTACGAGGCCAAAGTTCTGGGCAGTCAGGCGATCAAGAGGCTGATTGAGCCGGTGGAGGTGGCGAGGATGGCCATGTGGTTGATTGCGGACGATAGTGCTGCGGTGACGAACCAGAGCATGAGGATTGACGGTGGATGGACATAGGATGTGGGCTTTGAATAAGTAAATAATGTCGGTTTTCAGATACTGTGCTGATTGTTGAAACACTGATATGGCATGCATAGGAGGATTTGGCTTTCATGATACAATGAAGATAAAGTTGGACAGTGCCACAAAACACATAGAAAAAAAGTAGCCATTACTAACAAATTTCATAGTCGAGAGCTTCTACGTCTTGTCAGCCGAGCGTCCAACCTCTATATACCTCGCCATTGCTACTGTTGCCTGTTCAATCACCTCATCTACGGCTTGCGTATACAGAATGTTGTTGACTTTCTGCTCTATTAGCTTGTAGTGGCCTATTAGTACATTCTTATCGATGTTGACCTTGTGCATACGGCCGTCATTATGTATTGTAGAATGAGTAGCTCAATTTTAGCTTGTCTAACAAGTCGTACGAGGATGGGATGATGTTGGAAAGGTTAAAGGTAATTACGTTCCTCTGAGATGTTATCGACGTTGGTCTCTGTGAAGCCTATAAGTATTGTGATTAAAAAATGATCACTTGTGAGTGATATTGCCCGTGTTAAAGGAAAAGAAAAGGGGAGAGAATCAAGTTCCCAAATCCATGGTGTTTCCCGCCTCCGAAATCCTCGAGACATTTCGTGATGATTCCAAAGGAACAGGTCAACTTCCCTTCCACGAGTCGCCGCGCTTCATTGGTAACCGTCCTTCGCCAAAACGGATCATGTTTATACTGGCAGAGAACACGCGTTGCTCTCTCAATAGTCCGAGCGTTCTGTTGTCGCCACTTTGTTGTGGGCTTGGCAGTAGACAACCTGCTCCTTCGTCTTGGCAAATTTTGTCTTCCTAGAAGGATGCGGTACAGCCACCATAATGGAGTCGGACGGCAGCTCGAATGCCTGTTCAATCATGCTCACATCTTGGCAATCGAAGAGATGCCCAGTGATAGGGGCAGAAGCTTGACGGGCAGCCTAGGCGGCGGCATGGACCAGGACACCATTGGAGTGCGTGACGACCAAGGGTTTCAGTTGGATGATGAGGGGCGATCTTTTACGTATTGCGGCTTTGATGAAGCCTAGAATTTGCCAAGGTTATATCTAACGATGACACGAAATCTTAGTTTGTAGTCTTTTATCGTATGGAATAAAGGTTGGCTCAGTATCTTACCCAGTGGCGGCGAGGACGCCATATCTGCCTGCTAGGCTGCCCACAGAATGCACAATTGCATTGCCTTCACTTCGATTTGGCTCCGTCACGGTGCAAGTACGATAACAATGTCGATGTAAATGTGATGCTAGTATTCTACTCTTGAGATGACATTGTTGAACTAAGAGTGGTGATGACCTTGTTCGCAGCTGTTGCTTGCATTGCACAACTTCAATCCCCTCCACTCCCTCTCAAGCAAATGACCATCTTTAAGGACGTTATTACTCGCATTTGCCGTGTGATGTAGAAACTCAACGAAACTTTGGATCCATTCCAATTCACTCCCTCTCAAGCATTTCCGGAGCTGAAGTCTCTGTATAAGCGGCCGAGAAGTTCGCATCGGCTCCGGTCTTCCTAAATGGGCAATCGAATCATCAAACAGAAAGAGAGAATGCACGATTTTCGGTTACGAATAGGGAAGAAGGGAAACCATCAGACTATTTTCTGGGTTGAAGATTGATCATGTCGTGGTTTTAGAAAGTTGAGCTGTTGAAGACTGCGCAAGTTTTCTTGAGCTGGGTGCAAGCAGGGTAGCTGAAATTGCTCGTGCTACGACGCCCTTGGCAGACATACGACTTGCAATGCATGATGAGAGATCCCCCCACACGTATATCCTAGGCTTATGCAGGTGGCAGGTGGCTAGCCGTTGACGATTGACCCCTTTGTCCTATGGAGAACTTCTAGATTGCAAATTAGGTGGCCAAGACTCTTGGGTTACTTCGCTACGGATGTCCTCAATCAGTGCTAGCAGCAGCATGTCGTTCAGCTCCATAACGGCGAGGCTTGAAATGGTATCACAAGGTGAATGCCATTGTTTGAAATACGAAGTTAACCGAAATACCCGAGGCAAATGCCTGTGATATCGGGCTGAAGATGCGGAGGTGGCACTGCATATCCGCCTTGTCCCCAGTTCCACACGCAGCGCCAGCGGTGAGACTACGATGGAATGGCTTGATAAGAGTTCTTGAGATTTCAGGAATGTTTACCCGAAGCCAACGAATGGTATGCTATGGGGAGGGCGTCTTTGGCGTTTTCAGCGCTTATTTTGAGCAAGTGTAGCAAGAGTGTTGATCACGGCAGAGGCGCTATTGGAACCGGGGCTGGCCTTGAAGATGGCTCCATGTTTTACAAGTGAGATAAGCAAATGGATCTTTGGCCAATCACTTTGTCTCTAACTTCATAGTTTCTCTCGGAGAATGTGGTAGTAACTTCTTGATCGTTACTCCGAGATAAGTCATGAGGTATACGCACCTGAATAGCCTCAATTGTACAATGGATGGCTGCGTTCGTTTTCCAGCGTAAGCATGACATGTCTACCTTTAACTGTGCCATCTTCACTGTTTCTCTTTTCCTATTTGCCGGATGACATTGCCCACAATGCTCTCATAGTAACTGAAATGATCTGATACCTTCCAACACGAGACAATCTCCTGAGAGTCAACACAAGAGTCGTTCAACATCGAGATAGCCAACTATCAAGCTAATATTAGAGAGATAAAGCCACTGCTGTCTGTCAATATCACGCCCTAAGCTCGACAAGTCAGCTACAGCCTTAATCTGTCGATATGAGGCCATCCATCCCGTCGGAGAGCCAGCATCAAGGCACCCAGGCCAATCACCTCTCAGGGCACCCAAACGTGGCGCCGCCTCATCGTTAATCAGCCGCTGATAAGACCAACCACCCGACGGTTTGCGAAGTTCTAGAAGCCAAGTGAGCACTACCAGAACGATTCTGGTGCTGGCGGAATCAAACCGGGTTCGGGAAAAGGCAAGCATCGGCAATCTTTGGGGGTGGGAGGAGAAGACATAAGAGACCGGCAACCGTCGCGGGGTCTGGGGCAGGTCGGGGAAGCGGGCCATGTTTGGGGGCTTCTCGAAGACATGACTCGCGGGCCAGGGCTTTTTAGTGGACAAGGGCTGAGTTTTCTCTTGGGCTTCTAGCGAGGGCGGAGGAACAACTCTAATTGCGCCCTCTTTTTGCTTGGCTCTTGGGCTGTGAAACGGTTGGTGTGGGCATGGGTTGATGGGAGGGATGGGTTTGCTGCATGCAGCAGCTGATTTGCCTATCTTGCCTTTGTTCGTATTGCTAATCACGCACGTTTCTCACTCGGGATGTATAACGCTCAAATGTCCGAGTCTATGATGGATAAGTTCAAGTACTTCCATAGAGCTCGAACACCAACCTGTCCATCTTCGAGACGGTTTCTCAAACTCAACCAGGAGATCCGGGGTATCAACTTGCCAAGAGATCACAGCCCGTTTCCCCAAAGTCTGTTACGTTTTCTTTTCTTTCAAATCTGGAGTTCCCCGAATTTGCCCCCACGAGCAAGCATCTGATGAGTTTTCCAAGCCTCTGTGAAAAAAAGCATGTTTGTAAAACTTGGAGTCATCCACCAAACTAAGTGGAGAGCAACTCAAATCACAACCCACCAAGACTCTGTGCCACCACCAATGCCGCCAATACAAATGCAGTTTCTGACGAACAAGCGGCTGGAGTCTTCTCGTGAAACCACATCTCAGCATCCTGCCCTAGCATGACAATTACCTAACAGCAGCCTCGCGGACTGGCCAGCCGTCTCATCACAAGTGGGTTCCTGTCGTTCGCGCCCTATCCATCTGCCGGGATTAACATGTCAAGCTGGGTCCCTGCGATGGCGCCGCTTCCCTTGGCGACCCACGAGCCTTTCTGAGTGGCGGGCTCGAACGGTTCTGCTGAGCTACGGGCTACGAGAATCCTTCTCTGCGTCGGAATACTTGCCCTTGGTGTATGGAGCTAGGCGCAGACCATGTTACTGCTTTTGTATGTTACGAGGAGAACCGCTCCGTGCTCTGCCCCGTTAGCCTGCGCAAGGGCTCTCGAAATGGAATCAGATCATACAACTGGCCTTGACTTGCCTCTCCGGTCCCGGCTATCGGAAGCTCTGATGGCTCTGTCCACTGACTCAGGGTTCCCGCTTCCTGGTTTCTCCCGTTCAGCTTTGTTGTTGGCCCTGCAAGCTGTGTGTAGCATTGGGCGTGTTAGTGTCAGTATCACCAAGAGGAAGGGGGTTGAAAAAAATATAAAAGTGTTGAGCCCTCCCGGCCCTCCCCTTGCTGCCTTGTTCCGTGTGACGTGCTTTTTTGAAGGCTTCTGGAAATATTCTAGCCTCCGCCCTGCATTAGATACCCGAAGACTCGGGCAGGCTGTATTCTGCGCCCAAGATCTCCAAGTGCCGGCACCAGCCCGCGCGCTACGGACTTTTTTTGTGTGTGAATACCCCAATTTCTGGAAAATCTCCAAAAAGAGCAACGAAACAGCCCCAAAATGTCCCAGCGGGCTAGTTCGGGCGACTCACCGTCCGTGGGAGCAGAGGAGAAGGGCAACGCGGGAAAGGCCGTGCAGGACACTGCTGTGGTGCAGCAATCAGACGCTGCTTTCACAAATTCATACGATGAGGAGGACTTCTGGACGAGGAACGGCTTGAATGCCAAGTCATTCCAGAAGAAGCACTATGGATTGGGACTGGTGGAACTGGACCGAGCGATGAAGACGCGTCACTTACAGATGATTGCTATCGGAGGCTCTATTGGTGCTGGTTTTTTCGTTGGTTCTGGTGGTGCTTTGGCCAAAGGTGTAAGTGAGAATTGAAAAAAAAAAGAAAGAAAAACAGAAATGGTTATTCGATAGATGCTGACATTCGTTTCGCCGTATAGGGTCCCGCCTCGGTTCTTATTTGCTTCCTCGTCGTCGGTTTCATGGTCTTCAACGTCGGTAAGTCCACGCACGATCAATACCCATCCCAAAATACCTTTCGATTTATACACATTTACTCACAATTCGCCACAGTCTTTGCTCTTGGTGAACTTGCCATCATGTACCCAGTTTCCGGTGGTTTCTACACATACGCAACTCGTTTCATCGACCCCTCGTTTGGCTTTGCAGTCGGATGGAATTATTTCTTCCTCTGGTTTGTCGTCTTACCACTCGAATTAACAGTCTGCTCCCTCGTCATACAATACTGGAACCAGGATATAAGCGTCGGCGTCTGGATCACCATCTTCTGGGTCGCCATTATCCTCATCAACATCTTCGGAAGCATTGGTTATGCCGAGGAAGAATTCTGGTCTTCGGTCATCAAGCTGGCGGCAACACTCGTGTTCATGATCATCTGCTTTGTGCTTGTGCTCGGCGGTGGGCCTTCGAGTGGAAGATACTCCGAATACATAGGAGCTCATTATTGGCATAACCCTGGTGCATTCCGCAACGGCTTCCGAGGCTTCTGTTCCGTCTTCGTTACCGCTGCCTTCTCCTTCACTGGAACTGAACTCGTTGGCCTTGCAGCGGCCGAGAGTCGTAACCCAGTCAAGTCACTACCTAGCTCCATCAAGCAAGTGTTTTGGCGAATCACCCTCTTCTATGTGCTTGGCCTCTTCTTTGTTGGCCTTTTGATTCCCTCAGACGACAAGAGACTCCTGTCTAGCGCGGCCTATACCGACGTCAAGGCGTCACCTTTCGTCCTCGTCGGCCTCTATGCTGGTCTCCGCGGCTTCGACCACTTCATGAACGCCGTTATCCTCATCTCCGTCATCTCCATTGGTGTTTCCAGTGTTTACGGCGGCTCCCGTACGCTGACTGCTATGGCGCAGCAGGGATATGCTCCCAAGTGGTTCACCTACATTGATCGCTCCGGACGATGTCTCCCTTCCACAATTGTCATGCTTCTCACAGGACCTCTCGCCTACATCAACCTCAGTGCCTCAGGACCTACTGTTTTCAACTGGCTGCAGGCCCTCTCTGGACTTGCGGTTCTCTTCGCCTGGGCTGCCATTTGCATTGCCCATATCCGCTTCCGTGCGGCATGGGCTTACCACGGACATACCCTGGATGAGATTCCCTTCAAGGCAATCTTTGGCGTTGTGGGATCATGGATCGGATTGTTCATCTGCTTCATTTGCTTTGCTGCTCAAGTAAGTTCAATTATCGACGTGTGCAGAGTCTACTTTGATACTAACAGACTTCAGTTCTTCACAGCCATCGCACCCCCGGGCACATCCGAGCTCAACGATGCCGAGGGTTTCTTCCAATCCTACCTCGCCTTCCCCATCGTTGTTGCCTTCTGGGTTGCTGGATATATCTGGAAGCGCACTGGTTGGCTAAAGGTATCGCAAATCGATGTTGACACTGGCCGCCGCGAGTTGAACTGGGATGAGATCCGCGCATACAAGGAGTGGGTAGCGTCTCTGCCTGCTTGGAAGCGTGTCTATTATAAGCTGTTCCAGTAGTCGAATGCCGTGCCGGACAATGGAGAGTCGGCATGAAGTTGTCAGTTTAAGAATCAATGCAATTAATTTAATGTTTGAAGTACATATAATATTATCAACTTTGGCATCCGTCGTTTACTCGTCGTCTTTCATGTAATCAATCACCATACTGGGTCTCTGACTATTAGCCTCAAGTGATAAGTGATGTCCATAGTCTAACATCCGCCAACTCCCCACCGCCCGCGAGTCAGGTCATCTCCTAGGAATAGCGACCAAGCATTGGGTTCAGAATGGAAAAGTTCTTGTAGACATGGTCACTCCTGTAGACTTGTTACACGTATTCCATCAAACGATCGAGTATGAAAGACAGACACAAAGGACAAACACCAAAAATTGGTTCTCATAACCCAAAGTCACAAGCAAAAAGTCCAAAAAAGGAAAGTTCCTAAGCCGAAGCTCCGAAGAACGGGTCTGGCCGGGGATTGAACCCGGGACCTCTCGCAGAACAACTTTGGGTTTTCCCTAAGCGAGAATCATACCACTAGACCACCAGACCGATGATGATTTGTTGTTGAAGAGGCCGGCTCGTAATTTGTCCATCAAGGCATCGAAATTGTCCATTGTGGGCTGTCTGTGGATCGTGAATTTTAGATTGTGGACTCGGTGGATGCCAGGGTTCGAAGAAAGAAAATTGTAGCGGAATTTGAAGCGGTATCGGAGGAGACCGGGGTGGAGACCGGAGCATTTGCATCACGGAGAGCTCCGTATTGTGCTCCGTTATGTGGATGAAGCTGACAGAAAGAGAAGGAGAGAAGAAAAAATAAAATTGAGAAGGACGTTGATTAGTATAGTACTCTTAAAGACGATGATGGAAAAAAATGAAATCTATAAATTTGTAAACGGGGCATCAAAGTGGTGTAAATGAGACACAACGTAGCAGTTTGAGTTTGTGATTATTGAGACTCTTTCTACTGTGGGCGACCCAACCTGTCAAATTCAACGGTTTGAAGAAAATTATTCTTGGCTGCCAGGATCAATTTCATACTAAGAAAACGCTAAATTTTGACAAGGTACATGACACATGGCCTGTCTAAGACCCAGAAACGGCTTGCATAACCTCCACGACGCTGTTAATAGCTCGCTCCGCAACCGCCTTGGCCTGATACGCCGTCACCACGGCAATCTCAACCACCATCTCATCATACGGGACTAGCATCTCAATCTTCTGATCGCCAAACCCGGCCTTCTTCGTCTTCGTCTTGGCCAGCTTCTTGCCGTTGCTGTCGCACAGCGTGAGAGTCGAGCCCCCCGTGAGCTGGCTAGACTTCCACTTCAGCTTGCCCATCGGCGTGCCGGTAACGGAAAAGTCGCCCGATAGCTGGCTCATCTTGAGCTTCATGGCACAGCCGCGCATGTTTAGCTCGGCTGAAGTCTCCGAGCTGCATGTGATGTGGCCAATGGGACCCATCTGGCCGGTGGGATCGGGAAGGCCGCGGTAGACGATGAGCATGCCTGGCGACATGGCGTGGGGGGCAATGGAATATAACGGTGGTGTATTCTGTGGAGCGCCGTCATATTGCACAACCAAAAGGCCGGGATTTGTCGTGGATGTGCTGATACAGAGAGTTGGAGATGCGCTGGTGTAGTCGTAGGCTCTGGTGTTGGTTTCGAGATAAGAAGAATTGGCGTCGCTAGAAGCTTTAGAGAAATGTCGTGAGAAGAAACTCGTCATTGTGTATGTGTTACTTGATAATCAAGAATTAATTACATGTAAGTGAAGAGGGAGAGTGTTGGCAATCGTCAATGTTGGCAGTGTTGCACGTTTTAATTATCCGGGGGCGAAAGAGGGAACCAAATCGCCCTCAGGTTATTCGCATATATCATTTATAACCTTTTTGATCCTCCAAATCGCTTTAGTTACAGCTAGTCTATGCTTATTGCATTCATGGCTGTCAAGGTTGTGTCGTCACCATCCTTCTTTGAGATCTTCACACGATTTCCCCAAGAGGAAATACCATGCGCTGTGGCCAATCTCCAACAAAGCCGCAACAAGTTATTCCTGTTCATGTCATCCAATCAATCCCAGAGCAGGGAATAATCATGTCGAATCCTTCGCAACTCAAGTAATCGTACAGGTTCTACGTTATCCCATGCATTAAATCGTCTACATTGGGTTCTATTAGTGCCATGCTTCGCCATACATCTGCTCTGTCACAAATCCTTCAATTGGTCCCATTATGGAAAATAGAGCCAGTAATTTTACATCATCATCCTCATCGCCAAAGCCCCTCTTTGGTAGAATCGCGCGCTTGTCCTCCCTCTCAAGGATATGGCTGGGACCCCATCAAGCCGTGGCTGTGATGCCTGCCGAGAGCAAAAGAAGAAGGTTCGTAGTTTGACACAATTGTCAAGAGGAGACCAATTACATCTAAAGATCATTAACTAAAGCGCATATATCAGTGCGATGCATTGAAACCAGCGTGCTCTCGCTGTGCACGCCTTCAAATCCCTTGTGTTGGTGCGGGTCAGCGCCGGTTCATGTTCAAGGTCCAAACCGCATCAAGTAGATCAAAGAGGCCAATTACCGGCTCCGAAGATCATGATCAGGAAATTGGTAGCTCTTCAGTCATACCCTTCGGCCATCCATCATCACCTCCCAGTAATGCCATGACTTTAGCAACAGGGGCCTTTGTGTCAGTCCTGGAGGTTGATGATCCTCGGTACGATGTCACCGGTTGGACCGTCTTTCTGAATGAAATACCCAGGCGCATGGGTACAAGCAATTTGCTTGATGCATCAGCAAAAACATTCGCGAGTACCCTCTCCGCGGTACAGTCTAAACAGCCACAGCCTGTAGAAAACCTATCACAATTCGGCAATGCTTTGCAAACTCTCCGGGGGTCATTGGTAGAAGATAAGCATCAAATAGTAGACTCGCTGTGTGCCATATACTTGATACTTCTCTGTCAAGGATGGCTTTCCGAATCACCAGGCCAAAATGTCAATCATATAAACGGTATCATGCACCTTCTAAACAAAGTATCCGACAAGGACTGGCGAGGCGAATTTGAGCGTCAGATTCTGGTAACAGTGTGCATGGTCGTAGTATGTCATTCGTCCATCCGCGGAAATGGAAGATACTAACCATTTCTTCTTGCAGATATTTGAGAGCATCGCCAACCCAAGTATAAAATTGAGCCCCTGGCTTGTTGACCTGAAGAAGACATACTACGGACCCGAGAAGCCCTGGGGAGTCGATGACCACAGAGGTATCGGTACTCAAACAATCACAGTGGAACACATGGTCAAAATACCAGGCTATTTCCAGGAACCGGAACTTCACTTGCATGACCTAAGAAGCAGCTATCATGTGGCCTTCAGCGAATCCAAGAGCCTCTGTGCCTATGTTACAGCCATGGCCGAATCAATAACGCCTAAAACTGATATCTCCTCGTTTAGAGCATATGTGCGTATCCAAGGTGTGGCATCCGTTCTAGTCTCCATCGGACTCCTCCTCGGCACCATCCTGCGGATATTCGAACCAGGCAATGAACTTCTCAAGATAGAGTCTGCCTTTCTCATTTCAGAGGTTGCCAAGATTGCTACAAGAGCATCGAGTTATAGGCCCTTGGGCGCGATACTTATTCCACTTAGTCTATGCACTGCCTGGGCTGCGGCAGACGGTGCAGGAGCGGAAGCAGAAATTGAACGCATCGTCAGGGATTACGAAACAGATTTTCCTGATGCGAATTGGTTTGACATTGCAATCTGGCTAAGAGCCAAGTTTGAAAGCTTGAGGCAGAGAAGAAAGCAGACGCAGGTACCAGTGCACCACGAGATACTACTCATTGATGCTGGAAAGGAGCTTTCAGGGAGGAATTCGACAGCGCCTTGCTGTGTGATGTAGATGAAACTCATATTATTCATGCAACACTAGATAGATGTAGCCGCTACATGTTTGGTACAGCGCATCTCACGGAACCTACTGCTTGGTTAAGATTGATAATAACACGACCATGATAAATATTCGTTCAATTATCACTGCTCCTCGCCGACCTCACATCCCACACGCTCTTGTCTCAAACAAAAAGGCCCTTCTGTAGCCACTCACATCTATGTCCGACGGTGGAATCTTGTCCAGTGATGATACCTTCTGGGGTCAAGATATTGGCACTCGCATTCTGTCCCTGCTGAGGGAATGGCGGCAGGCCACGGCCATTCGGATTGCCAGTCTTGATAAAGTTGGTGATATATCCTTGCCATGTCGTTGCCAGTGACTCAATTACAGGAGCTCCGAAATTATTTCTCCCGTATCCCTTCCAGATGTACGATTCGTCGTACGCATGGAAAGGGGGGCTGATGTTGAATTGCATGTTGTATGTCTGGTTGGCAAACGCCCTGGCAAGTCAGTTCGTGTTGCATGCAAATATACTATCGCCCATAAAATCAATGGTCCGCACTGCACCTTTCCCAGGATAGAGATCTTTGATGATATAATCGGCAACTTCATCCACGATCCCTGGGTAGAGCTGATGAAGCAAGGATTTGAAGTCATCATCGGTCTGCACAAAAGGCTGTGAATACTCGCCGCCTTCATATCGTGTATGGCTGAGCAGTAAATCGACATTTTTGTGAAAATTTCCAGAAAGGAGCAATAAGCCTGGCAAAGCAGGCACAAAGTCTCCATCAACCGCGGGTCCGTAGATAAAGTTGGTCTCAACGCTGGATGTGTGCGCAACGTTTGCCTCCATCAAAGCTCTGGCTGGGAGCTTACGAGCTTGTTCGATTGTGCTCGCATTGAGAAACTTGAGGAAGTATTGCGTGATGTTTTCGGCTTGGAAGTTGGAGCCAATGGGAAAGTACCCAAGAGAGTTGATAAAGGCCCTGGCAAAGGGAGGTGGTCCTTTCTTACCACCGTATGCTGTGATATGATGAACTGTACTGCCACCACCGGCTGAAACTGAAGAGTATACAAGTTAGTTTGAGGTTGTCTGGACATCAAATTAAAGGTTGGTACATACGGCCGCTAAGAGTCACCTTCTTCGGATCTCCTCCAAAGAGATGAATGTTCTTCTGCACCCACTGGAGAGCAAGATGTTGGTCATGGAGGCCGGCATTTGCGGTGCCATTTGCAGCTTCAAGAGACGGCCCAGCTAGCCAACCAAAAGCCCCAAGCCGATAGTTTAAAGATACATAGATGAAGCCGCCTGAGCCATCGCTTCGGCTTGCATTGATAAGACCAGCCGGGTCAGTGGCATCATCGACATCATTCTTGTAGCCAAATATGTAGCCGCCTCCATGCATCCTATCCGAGATGTCAGTTAAATGGCATAAAATCTTCTTTTTCTCTAAGTGAGACGAACCAGACCAATACAGGGGCTTTCTTAGCCTTCGAGTTTCGGCGCTCAAACACAGCACGAGGAACAACAACGTCGAGAAACAGGCAATCTTCTCTCTGGGGGAGCTCCAAGACAGTCTGAGCATTCTTCTTTGTGATCAACTCCTACGCTGCATGCTCCGCCGTGTAATTGTAATCAGACAGGTTCCCATTTATAAACGCATGACCGAAATCCGAATTCGCACTGCCCCAACCTGGCGACCCCTGAGGGCACATCATTATTGACCCATTGCCCTTTTGCACCACATAGTTTCGGCCTGTTGGTGGCTTTGGAGCAGAGAAGCGCAGGTCACCGACAGGAGGCTGGGCATAGCGAATGTTGCTAAAGGTGTACAGATCGGTTGTTTCCTATGAAAAGTTAGTAGGGCTGCTTCTCTGTTGTAGAAAGAGACGAGAGGGCCGTACGTTATGTTTGAGTGCCTCATGGATCTCATAACCCAAATCCACTTGTGGGAGGCATTCGCCTTTTCCAAAAGATAGCTGGGACACAATTATGCCTAGGATGAGAGTGGCCTTCATATCAGCGGGTTTCCTGTGATATAGCTCAGGAGTTTATTGATGAGATGAGAATATGAAGAGAGACAATGGTTGTTCTGTGTAGTTGCTTGATGTAGTTTTATTTCCAATCTTTGACCGGAGTTACCTGTGCCTTATATACAAGTCGTTGGCTCCTCTTTCTCATTGAGGTTGAATAGTGATATCTCCTGTACAAACTAGATCTGCAACTTTTCATCCTTCATCCAGAATAACCACCCGCCAACTCATAGCCCACCTGCTTTTACGTAGGCCGAGCTTTCAGACAAATTATCTCCTTGCTTTAACAAACAATGGCATGGCTTAGACGTTGGAAAGCCTTGAGAATGATCAACATACAGCATTATACAGGGATACATATGCACTCCACATGTATCATAATGCTATCTCCAGGAGATTAAAGTTAAACTCATTGAATTCCATTTAAAGCTGACGTCAAGACTGCACAGACCGCAACTATATTGGACAGGGTAACTAATTATAGGTGAAGAATGGCGAGTGCCGAGTGTCGATCAGTACGAATTAGGAGAAACCGTGCGCTGTGTGGGAGCAGCCGGTTTAAAGGTGGCCATGAATCCTTCAGGAACGTGCGCATGGATCTAGACTAGGCGGATTTGATTTGATGGATGGAGTGTCGAGCCCATTGTGTTGAAAGCAGGAGAAAACTACAGGGGCATGTATATGGATGGGTTTGTTACGGTGACGCAGAACAATTGGCACTTGATATAAGCATAATTGACAGTTGTGAATCAAGAAATGGTGTTTCTGTAGGGTGAGGCCGTCGTTAAGCCTTAATCAAGCAAGGATGGCTCAATTGAAGGCATACAGAGAGAAGGAATGATGTATGTACTGACTTTTGTCGACTAAATCTCCCATCACCTTTCGAAAGATACGGTCTCTATAGAATGAGAATAAGCTCCGGTCAATGAATTGAGTTTTGTCTTTTAGCCACACGCCATCAGTGAGTGACAGACAGCAGGACCCTTCCTGACAACCTCCGCTTAAACCCCGGCATATCACGGCAATGCTACGTCACAGTCACAGCGCAAACAAAACAGCGAGCGCGGCATCGGCAAAAGTAAGCTTCCGTGTCTCGGTCTGTGATTGGCCCTGGCCGTGCTGGCTGCAGAAGCTCCGGGGAAAAAAAGTGGGCAGAGCCAAAGCAGCCTTGTCCAGTCTCGCTGCTGTTCTGCCGCTCTCCTCGTCGTGGGCTAATTTGCTCCTCCAGCCTATTATCCATACATTTTGTGCATGACACGAAGCCCTGGGGTCTTCTGGACGAGGCCCTGCAGGACCCTATGAAGCCGCCTTCAGTGCGCTAAACGACTCCATCACAGACTCGCTGCCGACTCGGTTCTGCTCTTCTCTGCTCTCCAGCCCTCGTGTCTGTCGACCTGCTCAGCGCTGCTCTCTGCCCTCGTTCGATCGGTCGGCTGGCCTCGGGATCTGGATCTGGATCTGCCCATCATGGCGTCGCAGCAGGTGCTCTTTGCCGAGACCATCGCCGGCATGAAAAAGGCCTTCAAGAGAAGGGCCTATGGTGAGCTCTTCAAACACTCGCTGCACAGGCGGATCACGCTAACTCGCTGGCGTCGACAGAGTCTGACTCCGACTCGGAGATCGAAAGCTTCACGAATCGAGGCAACAAACTCAAGAAGAGGGCGCGTTTCGCACACAAGGGACAATTGATGCCCTCGGCAGGGCCTGGAGCCTACAAGGAGGTACGGCCGACCGTCAATACACACAGACACAGCCCCGTGAGGCGCGATTCCTGACTTAGCTGACCTGACGCAGACTGTCGAGTACGCCGGTGTACGAAGATCCATTATCCATCGCAACCCCCCCTTGGTCGACGAAGACGGCTACGAATTCGATAGCGACGACGATGAATCCCGCGTCGAGGAGGCCATACTGTCAGCTGCAGAGCTGAATCCATATGCAAACATCCGCTTGGAACGTACGTTTGCCGTGCAACCCGTCTGGGCAGGGCTCGCGCTGACTTTGACAGACATCCTCGCGCCCCTCACTGCTTCGACCGACCTCCCAACCCATCCCGTCCTCTCCAAGCCCTTCACCTCCAATACCCTCACAGAACTAGTCAAGCAGAGTTCTGGCATAATGCAAAAGGAAAACCGATCGCTGTGGCAGGTTCGGCATTTATGGACCTCGCTCTGCGGCGATTCCACTTGGGTACCGTGTTCAACCATGGTCGGCACCAACGACATCGAATTCTATACTCAAGATAACGAGGCTCACCAGCCTACGGATCCTTCCAAGGCGGGCGATAATACATCTTCACCGTCCAAGGTGAATGGCGAGAAGAAGCCTGATGGGTCCGCGGCTCATGCTGCCAGTACAAATGAACCGGGCGAGCAGGGTACTGCTGCTCCAGCAGATGCCGATGTGCCCATGGGTGATGCTGAATCGCCCGGGAAGAGGAAAACACCTCCCAAGGAGCCTGAGGCAATGGAGACAGATGACGGAGCTTCCAAAGAGCAGCCTAATGAAGCAGAGGACGCGAAAAAAGACAATGGCAAAAACATACTTAATGGCGACCCCGGGAGAAATACAAACGGCAGAGAACCATCGGCCGAAAATACAAGTCAAGGTCGCAAAAAGGGAAGCCGTCTACCCAGCGAAGACGTCCAAATGCAGGACAGTGTTGAACCAACAAACAAGGCTTCCCAGGAGAACTCAGAAGCCAAGAAGGACGCGAAGACTTCATACATCCACCCAATGTTCTTGCCGCCTACAAATGCCTCTCTCGATAGAAACCTTGGCTTACCAGACAACGAGGCCGAGGACATCAGGCGGCTCCTAGCCCTGTATGTGCAAAAGCAGGAAGAGGTCTGCCGAGGGGCAGCCAGACTGCACTTGGGCCTTCTGAGAGCCCAGAGACTCCGCAAAGATGTGCTGGGCTGGTCAAAAGCAGAGGCACACTGCGGGCCGAATCGAGACATGTCAGATGGCGAAGACTGGTATGACAAGGAAGAATGGGGCCTGACAGAGGACCTCAAGAAGGGCCAGGACGAAGAAGAGGAAGATACTGCAACGGCAGGAAAGAAGACTCGAAATAGGCGGTAAACATGTCACTATGGGCGGCGTTTTAAGGCGTTGTGAGGGAGGGAGGATATTTCAAACCAGCCACGACTCGTGGATGAGCTGATGATGACGATTTCTGTATTGTGAGGGACGTGAATGGATTTATAGATACCAAATGCCGACCAGTGTCGGCAGGACATAGGCTTTTGTCCTCTTGGCGACGCCGTGAGGATTCAAATTCCGTGGGCATCGGAGGGGGATTCTTTGGACACGCGAGCTGTTGCTACCTCATACATGGGCAGTGTATTTTTAGGATTAGCGGTTACATTTCCCCTGGTTATTTTACCAGCTAGTGCTAGTTTTCATCCTCTTCTATAGGTTTCTCTCTCTTTTTTTTTCTCATGCCCTGTCATTTTCCAGGCTGGCAGAGGCGGCTTAATGGAATTGGAATTGGTAAATTTGCTTGTGACAGACGCCAATTTTGTTGAGGGCCCCATCCAAGTGACCAATCCCCGCACCCGGAAGGAGCTGGAGCTGCATGTACTCTTCGTTAGCAGGTACCTTCAATGACACTATGCCCTGGACTTTGGTTTGATTCAAATTCCCGACCTGGTACATACAGCCACGTTTCTCTCTCGCTTGTGATTGTGTGCATTCTATCGCCTTTCTTGCTCTCTCTTCTGAATTCCCATCTGGCTTGTTTACTTTCTTCCTTCCAGTCCGTCAAACTGCCTAGACACACGTAGCCCGCAATGGCGTCATCATTCAACGTTGCCGACCTGGCCGAGTATATCGATCTGGACAAGCAGAGCCTATTGAGTAAGCGGCGCAAGCTGTTCCGACAGACGAGAAGAGAGGTAGATGTCTAATCAGTGAGAAAACAGTCTCGGCAGGGTCAATCATCTTCAACCCGCTCTTCTGGAAGTAAGTAAGAACCAATTCAATGGAATGGAATCTCCTGTCCGCGTCTGTGATACCGTACAGCTTGCTTACACATCGTCTTCCTGCAGCATTGTCGCTCGTCAAGGTTCGAAAGCCATGCCCCGATTGATCTCCCGATTGGCAGGTCGCAAAACAGCTGACATTCAAACCATTCTGCAGAATACCACAATAAGGTCCTGACAAGGCTGTTCGGGGGCAGACCCTACCCGGCCTGCTATGCCCTCGCCGTGACCATCTTCTCGCTGGGTCTCCTCCGCGATTGGCTGTACAAGACGGCCCTGTCCGAGCAGCCCTCGCACCCGCTCCTGGAGACGCTGTACTCGCAAGCTGCCGGATACACCCTGTTCATCATCGGCAACATCCTGGTCGTCTCGTCGACGTGGCGCCTGGGCATCACGGGCACCTTCCTGGGCGACTACTTTGGCATCCTGATGGACGAGATGGTGACGGGCTTCCCCTTCAACGTGACATCGGCCCCGATGTACTGGGGCTCGACGATGAACTTCCTGGGAACCGCGCTCGTCTTTGGCAAGCCTGCTGGTATTGCGCTGACCGTCGGCGTGCTCGTCGTGTACATCATCGCCCTGCGGTTCGAGGATCCGTTCACTGCTGGGATTTACGCCAAACGTGAGCGCGAGCGTGAGGCGGCCAAATCTGGCAAGAAGCAGAAATAGAGAGAGAAAAAAAAATGGCCCTCGGGTCTACATTTGACTGCCGATATTATGTGGCACGCCATTTAGATGTACGAGTATTGCTGTGATGGAGAGAGGGGCTGGGAGGCTCCATGGGCAGGGATAGAGAGGGCGAAGTTGAACACCTAGCATGGCGTTTTGTGCTACTACCAGGAATGACTGTAAAACAAAGAAACAAAGGTCTTTCAACAGACTCGGATGCGGTTTGTTGGAAGGAGGGTTGGTTATTGAGTAAACATGGTTGGGAATTCCACATATACCACTAGATGGGGCTGAACAGGACAGGATTTAGGAGAAGAATCATATTCCGCTTTTCTTCGCGTACGTCTAGACGTCTTGTTATTTTACGTTACATCTTATTGGAGTTGCCCTGAGCTTCGATATCGAGACCGGCACGACGGATCCAGAGTCGTATTCCGATTGAATGCCGGCATAAGACCGATGACATTGCGCGGCTCCTGGGCTCTGCACTGCCCCCCGGCGCAAAGAGTGCTTGCAGGTACTCCGTAGTTATGAGTGATTAATGTATCTGACACGATGCTTCCGAACCATGGGGTAGCAACTGCTCTACGAAGTATTTGGTTCAAAGATGCGCGCAAGCTCTCCTATGATGTCAAGATCGCCAACGCCTCTCGGCCTAAAGAGCATCGAAACTCGGCCAGACGCGGGGGAACTGCATCTGGGGAAGAAAACTAAAAAAAAAAGTCCAACTAAACCAACCTAACAGAAAACGTAAGAAAAAAACAGCCCCCAAAGCATGTGACCGCAAAGAACGCAAGAGAAATAAGAGGCGGCGCAGAGACTAGAGAACCCGGATGGGAGCGGCAACCGGCTAGCCGAAATGCTACTTCGTTTTCCTCAGCCTTGAACATCTCCACTTAGGTAGAGAGAGTTTTGACGGGAAAAAAGGTGCCAGAAAAAGGTTCCGGGGAAACCCGGTCGGAGAGGGGCCCCGACGGTGAAGGAAGATGAAGAGTGTATGTATGTATGTGATGTGATGTGTGTATTACGGAGGTATGTTACATGTATGTGCTCCGTTGACGGCACTGAGATCCCGGGCCTTTGTTGTCAGGGTCTACTTGTACATGCACATCGTCGTTGCAACGAGGTCGAGCTTCTCAGCGAGTCAGTTCGTAAATACCGAGGCCGCTGCTCCGTGCTGACGAGAATCTTCTTTCGTTCTCCTTTTCACCATAATCGACGCCCGATCACTCTTTATCGCGGCTACGACAACTAACAAGCAAGCCATCTGCAAGTCATCTGCATCGGAACAGCGCCTCTTTGGCCAGACAGTGATCAAAAGACACAAGCCTCCGCCTTGGCTTTTTCGGCTGTTTGGTTCTAGCCGCGTGATTCACAAGAGTTTTTTTTACCCCTTGCATTAAATCTTCTTTACGAAAAACCTAGACCGTTCCATTTTCCCCGGCTCACAGCGCCGAGGCGGAGCATACCGGCCGGGACTCTATCTCGACGACAATCTCGACTGCATCTGCATCTTTTGGGAGCAACATTCGGGCTGCAATATCATTCAATTTTCTTCCTTGCATCTACTCTAAAAGCACGAGAATAAGACTCTGCTTGGGCGAGTCACAGTCAGCCTTTTTGTCGGCACATGTCGAGCTTTGCACGCCAGTGAGACCGGAGCCAAGTCTTTCCGGGCAGATTCGGGCTTGTCCACCCGATGCCGTAAGAGATTCAAATACTTTGCGCTTCTACTTCTGTGTTAGTCCAAGCTTCTTCTTTCAGGAGGCGAAACCAAACGACACATTAATTAGCCTCCTCTCTTCCACCCAAACATAAAGAACAGAAAAATTCAAGACAAGCAGAAGCAGTCAAGCTTGAGACAAAAATAAATTCCAAGACACACACAGAGTTCCCCCCGGAAACGCCAGTCATCCAAACCAGCGCAAACAAAGTCTCCACTTTCTTTTTTCAGCGTCCGTGGTTGTGGCTGTGGCCTCTTCAGAAATCAAATCGCTTCCGTCTTTTTTTTTGTTTCTGGATTTTTCTTTTTGCTTCTGGGGCATGCATGCCACGACTGTCTCTGCGCCGCGCGATTCTTTGATTGGCAGGGGTGACGGATTGATGGACGGGGGACCGAATCGAAGTGCTTGCGTGCTTCTGCTTTGACGACATTCAGGCTGAGAGAGAGAGAGAGAGAGAGAGAGAGAGAGAAGAGTCACAACAGAATTGGCGTATTTATCCAGAACTGGCCATTTCTTAAACAGGGATCCTGCTTGGCTTTCATAGGTGGACATCAGCAGCAGCGCAGAAAAAGGGGGGAAAGAAGGCGACGAACCAGGAAACACCTTCAGCTTTGAACGAAAGGCCAAAATGGACAGGATACCCGGGACCGAGGGCGGCGACGTCACAGACGATTCAATCGCCCGCCAGACATCGCCGCCAATTGTTTCCTTCGACAGAGCCGCCGACAGCAAGACGCAGAACGCGCAGATTGCAGCGGGCGTGCTGCTGGGCACGAGCGACGAGGACCGCGGCGCTGGCGATGGGAATTCAGTCGCGACGTCGAATGGGCGCAGCTCAAGGACGAGGCGCAGGACGCCGCTGGCGAGGCTGAAGCATGTCTTGATGACGTTTGGCAAGTTTGTGGGACCCGGCTTCATGGTTTCTGTTGCGTACAGTAAGTCGGCGTCTCAAGAACCCTCTCCCCTCGTAAACAATTCATGATGTGACGCCAGAAAAAGAGAAGGATGAGACAAAGCTAACTTGATATCCTCACATAGTCGATCCTGGTAATTACTCTACCGACATTGCGGCGGGCTCTTCGTACCGCTTCAAGCTCCTCTTCATCGTCCTGCTCAGCAACATCTTTGCCATCCTCCTCCAGAGCCTCGCCATCCAGCTGGGCACCGTCACGGGCCTTGATCTGGCATCAGCATGTCGTGCTTACTTACCACGATGGCTCAACTATTTTCTCTATGTGCTCGCTGAAGTTGCCATTATCGCTACTGATATTGCCGAGGTATGCAAGGCCTACATTCACGTCTGGAGCTCTCTGGTGTACTGACTGCTGTTTTCTTGTTAGGTCATTGGCACGGCCATTGCGCTCAACCTCCTCATCCCCAAGCTGCCTCTTGTCGCCGGCTGCGCTCTATCTATCCTCGACGTCATGGCCATCCTCGTCTTTTACCGCCCAGACGGCTCCATGAAGGGCCTCCGCGTCTTCGAATTCTTCGTCCTCCTCCTGGTTCTAGGCGTCGTCATCTGCTTCTGCATCCAGCTCTCCCTCATCAAGCACACCAGCGTCGGCGAGGTCTTCAAGGGCTACCTCCCCTCCTCGGCCATTGTCCAGTCAGACGGCCTCTACCAGGCGTGCGGCATCCTCGGCGCCACCGTCATGCCTCACAGCCTGTACCTCGGGTCCGGCATCGTCAAGCCGCGCCTCAAGGACTACGACCAGAAGCACAACCTCATGCCCCAGGAGCCCGTGTCGGCGGCGTCATCCACCATGGACGAGAATTACGATAAGGTCTACTACATTCCATCTCTGGCCGCCATCAAGCACTGCCTCAAGTACTCCATCACTGAGCTGGCGCTGTCGCTCTTCACTTTTGCGCTGTTTGTCAACTCGGCCATCCTCATCGTTGCCGGCGCCTCGCTTTATGGCAACCCAGACGCCCTTACAGCAGACATTTTTGGCATCCACCAGCTGCTTTCCAAGAGCATCTCGTCCGGCGCCGGAACCATCTTTGCTCTGGCACTCCTCCTTTCAGGTATTTCAGCTGGCATTGTATGCACCATTGCCGGCCAGATGGTCAGTGAGGGCGCTCTGCGATGGAAGATGAAGCCCTGGTTACGACGCCTCATCACGCGATCCATCAGTATCACACCTTCCATCATCATCGCCGGCGCAGTTGGACAAACAGGTCTCGATAAGGCCCTCAACGCCTCTCAGGTAGTGCTCAGCACCGTGCTACCGTTTGTGACATTCCCGCTCATCTACTTCACTGCCCGGTCACGGTACATGACGGTGCAGCCCGGCCGAGCCCGGCTTCAGATCGAGTCGAGGGAAGATGGCCGACCGATTGGCCAGCCGGGGACGGACATGTCCAACGGCTGGGTGCTCATCATTATCAGCGCCCTTGTCTGGTTGCTCATTGCGATAATGAACGTCGCGAACCTAGTATTGTTAGGACTAGGCAATGCATGATGAAGTGTTTTCTTTTCCTTTTAGCTTTTTTTTTTTTTTTTTTTTGATTAAATATTGTTTCTTCATATTGCTGCATGGCGCTGCGATGCAAATGCTAATATTAGACCTCGGTTCTGATAGAGTTGGATGGGCGTGGGGGTTGAAAGTATGGTTACGAACTTACACAACCCATGAATCATTCTGTATACGCGTAATAGTATTAGAGATGTAGTCGATATATATACTTATATTAGTCCCAATACTATATTCCGACACTTACTCTTGAGCCTGACACTACGTATTATACTACTTGCCTTGGAGATCAGTCGATCGCTGTCTTAACAAGTAACAGCGTTTGGAGCGTAACCTCGTATGATCATCGCTGTATAGAGGACCTGGAATCAATTGCACAGCCTTCCAAATCAAACCATTGTTCCACAGAAAATACACGTAAAATGCTCATTTAAATCAATCCAAATCCTCCGCTGGAACCTGGAATAAAACAAAAACCCCAGTCCAAAAACAAAGCCGTTTCAAAACCAAACTTGCAAGACAAAAAACCAGGGCAGACAAAAAAGCGACGTCACCGCATGCCCCCACCGCCAAAAGCCCCGAAACATCTCCAGCCCCGCGTTTTAATCACCCAAACGGACCCTCAAAACTGGGCAACGACATTTGCCGAATCTCCCCCTCCAAACGCCGCACCAAAAAAGGATCATCATCGGGCTAATGCCAATCGTTTTTTCTGACAGCTTGGGCGGTGAAATCCAAGAACATCAGGCGGAAATCAGGCGGGCTGCTCGGGATTGCGCGACATAACAAACAGGGAGTTGAGCTGCTTTTGTTTGAAAAGAGCTGCCTTATTAGCTCAGCTGAGCTGCCTTGCGACAACGTGGCGCTGCGGACGTTTGGTTTGAGCTGAATATCGTGGCACGAGAGACGACCTCGTCAAACCTCGCAGCTGTATAAATACACCAGCAACTGCGGCGATATCGAAATACAGCTTCTGGAAGCTCCGTTTCACTGTGCGGTGTCGCAAGAGGATCCAGACTTATACTACTGCTCTCTACCTGCCAGCTAAGCTTCACCTCCATCGTCCAAGATGTTCCAACAAGTACAGCCAGCTCCAAGCCTCTCCTCAACCTCGTGAATCGCTATCGCTAGATGCTAACTGAACACTCCCTCCCTACAGAAGAAGCCATACTCGGCCGTCACGGTCACCATCGAGACGCTCACCTCTGAGGCCTACGAAGAGGAAGACCTCAGCGGCATCCCCGACCTCGTCGAGGTCATCACCATCCAAGCCTCCGGCCCCACGGAGGCCGCCCGCGCCATTCGAAAGAAGCTCAAGTACGGCAACGTGCACCGCCAGATCCGCGCCCTGGTCCTGCTCGACGGCCTCATCCAAAACGCCGGCCCGCGCTTCACGCGCACGTTTGCCGACGAGCCTCTGCTGGAGCGCCTGCGCGTGTGCGGCACGTCCGACCTCTCGGATCCAGAGGTCAGGAAGAAGTGCAGGGAGCTGTTCAACAGCTGGTCCCAGTATGGCAATAAACCGGGCCTGGAGAGGATTGCTCGGCTGAGCAAGGAGCTGCCGAAGCGAAAGGTTGGCGTCACGCAGGAGAGATCGCGCGTGCTCAAGGAAACCGAGAACCCATTCGGTGATGAGGAAGACGACGAGCCAACGTCTCCGAAATCCCCATCTCCTCCTGCCGCCGGTCCGTCGTCGTCGTCCCACAGTCGTACGTCTCATAGCCGCGAATCGTCAATGGTCGATTCGTTCAAGCGTCAGCAATCCTCTGTGTCCAGCAGTAGCGGGTCTATATTCAGCAGCTCCGACAAGAAGAAGAAGAGCGGCAGCGGTAGCAAGACCAAGGGCAAGAGGAAGCCCTTCAACCTAGAGGCCGAAAAGGAGGGGATGAAGTCTGTCATTGCAGAGTCATCGCTGGCGGCAACGAACCTGCTCAACGTCTTGCAGACGATTAACCGTGAACGAGAGCGTATCTCCGAGAACAACTTGGCTGTTGAGAGATTCGAGTCTTGCAAGCTTCTCCGCAGAAAGGTGTTGCGCTTTGTAAGTCGTCACCACATACCCCTCTCTTGACTTTTGGCTCTTTTCAGCAGATCTAACTCTAGAGTAGGTTCATCATGTCGAACATGAACAGTGGCTAGGTCCACTCCTCCACGCAAACGATGAACTGGTCCACGCCCTCATGACATTTGAGCAGCTCGACCAGTCCGTCGATGCCGACAGTGACTCTGACGACGAACTTGCGGAACAAGCTCACCTATACCGAAGTAAGAACAACTGCCACCCTTCTGACAAATCCCCAAAACCTCGCATTCGTTTGAACCCTGAGACTGACCCCGATCCCCCCAGTGGCTGCTATAAAAGGAAAAGAAGAACTGGCCGCCAAGGAGGCTTCATCCCCCCCAGCCCGGGCCGAGCATCCCGACATCGCCGGTCTGAGCATCAACTCGTCCCCAAGAGCGACCCCGCCTCCTCGACCTGCCTCGAAGCCTGCCTTTTCAGCACCGCCGATACCACCTCCGCTGCCATCGAACCCCAGGCCTACGGCTCAGCAGAGACAGGGCTCGTACTTGTCCGACGAGGAGGACGATGACGATCCGTTTGCTGATAGAAACATTGTTGAGTGAGGTTGACACGGATATCACTGGAAATTTGTGGTTTATTCTTTTATCCCGCGGTTGGCGTATGTGTTGACCCGTCGTTTGGATATTCTCCTACTGTTTTTCGATTCACTTCTTATTTTATTTATTTTCTCGTTGTTTGGAACTGATTCCCCAGGAGAGTTCCATGCGTGCCTTGGAAAGCGGGCAAAAATCTAATGATTCATGAGGCCATGATATCGCGTGTGCAAATTTAGTGCGTGCCTTTGGTCATCTGAAATATTCCCAAAATGAGCTTGTGGATTCCTCTTCTTTCAATAAAGGTTTTTTTTATTTTTTATTCTATTTCAGAGAAGGCCTGTGTTTGGTTTTGGGCTAGTTTGTGATGTTGAGTTGAAGAGATCTGAGTCGATATGGCGTCATGTTTGTCTTTGGGCCCGACTTGGAGTCGTATGTTTATTATTCTTTTTTTCCCTAGTACATCATACGATGAGGCATTGAATATTACCTGGGATACTATTTCATGTGATAATGCGTGAGGAGTTTGCTAATGCCAAGAGTTTGATATTGAGTTGAACTATATGAACTGTTGTCATCAACATTACTACCTAGATACAAACTGATTACAACTGCTACCACTACATGTTCTAAGAAATTTACGATGAGTTTATTTTAACCAAGGTAGATGTAAGTCTCATCATCCGTAGAACTAGAGTAATTCACTCTCATCCAGACGGGTTCCAGACACATCTCACTCAAACCCATCTGCAAAGCTTCAGGGTAAGTAGCTCATGCCAAGATATTGCAACTCAAGATCGTCACAATACAGAGAGGGTGCAACATGTCTCAACCCTTCACAGAATCAAGTCTCTTCCACTCACACCCTCCCCACATGGCAGAAAGAAACAAAGAGACAGGAGAAGAGACAACAAGATCAGACCCTCAAGGTGCATGCCGCCCCCTCATTTGCCAGACAACAATGCCGAAAATACGCACGGTCCGTCTCAACGCCCATCCCCCCAGGACCAACCACCCAAGAGCCGGTGGTTTTCGGAGACTTTGCACGGAAACCTTTTTCTCACGTTTGCGCGGGCGTACGTGCGTGCGTTGTTGACCATTTTCTTCCTTGCCTTGCTAGAGAACATTCCTCAATGGGCGGTCTAAAAGGCTCCTGGGGGGTGGGCATTCCGGCGTTTAGGTCGGCCGATCCCTTGGGACTTTGACGGACCGGAAAACGGTCAGCAACAGCCAAGGGGAAAGACAAACGATTGATGCTGGCTGGCTGCCCGAACAAAGCGCTAGCGATGCCGGATCAATGCTTTATTTTTGGAAAATGCCACTTCTGCCTTAAGTTGGGCCAGATCGGCGCGTGTAAGTGAACGCATAGGGGGATCCCGTACGAGTTCTTCGTAGAGACGACGCCACGGATGGGTGTCGGTGCGGATGTTATCGGAACATTCAGATCAGTTGACGTGGAAAAAACTGTCCTAGGCACCCGTCACATCTCGCCTCCACAGCCAAATGGCACCAGATATGCATTGAGTGAAATGTCACAATAGCAAACAATTAAATCGTTCCAATAGTCGTGGGGAATGTCGAGAGTAACGAGGCCCCCCCTTCTATCATGCACTCACAATGCATATGCGGGCTCTCATGTTGAGGTCATCGGAAAAACAAACTGCTCTGGTTCACTCCCTAATGCCCAAAATGGAGAAATATTCGAGAGTAAGGGTTATGTCACCTAGTACCGGATAATTACGCACGTTCGATACCACCACGAGGTGACGACGGCTTTGGCCGGTGCCTCCCCCGGACGGGAGAAGGAAGCTCAGGACAGAGAAAGGATCAAGCCATTACCATCATCTCGTGGCATAATCTTCAAGACGCTACCCTCCCTCCCAATACCGAAATTCAGGTGCCAGATGAAGCGCTGTGAGACACCACGTTGCCGGCGAACAAGGCGTCTGAAGCTGCCACATAGTGTCGTGTGCTCCTCACCAAAGTCGGCATCGGATGTCCCCTTTCTGACGGGTTTGCAAGCGTGGGGGTGCACGGAGTTGCCGGCACTCATAGCTGGCTTTCCTTTGTTGGTCAGAATAAGCCCGGTGTAGGTAGTCTGCAAGGATAGGAATGTAGTCAGCACTTCATTTTGGGTTCCAAGTCGCTAGATGCTTGATACTTGATGCAGAGGGAATTGAGGCGTCTCGTAAACAAGCAGACAATGCGTCGATCTCTCTTCCCATTGGGCTTGGTCATTCTTGCAGGCTTTCATTGGGCGCTCCTAGTTTCATTAAGCGATCAAGGCAGCCTTCCGAATGAGTAGGTGGTGAGGATCCGTTTGCATGTTTTCGTATGAAGTCGCCGAAAGAACGGAGTACTCCGTCATCCGTCGTCCATATTCGGGGCCCAGTCGACAATAGTAACAACTGGCCTCCGAACCAGGCCTAAGCCATTGTTAGACACCGTCCTGATCCGCTGCCCCAGCTTGCGGCGAGAATACTTTGCGCTAAAAAGGCGCCCATGCACCGCAAAGGCAATGTCCTAGCTGGCCAACCGTTTAGCCCTATGCAGGATGCAATTCAAAAAGGGAGTGGCTAGTGAAATTAGTAGATATTGAGCCTGAGTAGCGAACAGTACAGTAGCAGACACTTGAAGGGCTAGAAGACAAACGGAATTTCATCTGCGCCTTGTCTTGTAGCGACACCCGAGGTCCACGTATTCACTTGCTTGGGTGTCGGTTGGCTGATCCCCAAAAAGCAACTGGTGCCAACAGCAGCTTGCTCGATGACCAAGGCCCACGGGGAGAGGAGAGGGAGCCCTGTTGGTGGCGCTGGTTTTGGAAACTCGGCATGTGGGAATACTGTCCTTCTTTCTTGTTTGCCTTGGGAGGGCCTTGAGAGGGAAACGAGGTACGAGGCTCGAAAATCATCGGGCCGCGGCCCATCCAAACGTGATGATGCTAATATTAACTTGCCCGTTGAAGCTTTGCGTACATGTAGATCAGCTGTCGCAGCACTTAATATCATATCCTGGTCCCTGGCTTGTGGTGACTGGGGTGGGCGTGATGGTCGGTCGTTTGTTTCACCTGCGTGGTTTCAAGATTAAACCGCCGTGGTGCGACGGATTCCTTGCATGCCACCAGCCACTTTGAGCGCGCCATGCGTCTCTTGGCTGCAAGGTCTGCAAGGTTGGGATATAGCGTTGGAGGCTCATCAGATATCGCGATCCATGCCACGAGTATTGGAGAAGGGGTGTAAGGTGTACATGCATGCACGAGCACAGTTGAACGCAAATCTTTGGTTTGTGCGCACCTGGACCTGTAGCTTTGATTGGTGGATCGAATTGCAACAGATCATCATGGATGAATTGAATTGAAGCCTCGAGTTGTTCCGACTGGTGAAGGAACGGCTCTGCGGCTCTTGTTGGTCACGCGTCGTTCAGGTGACCTTACCCTGTTGTCAGCAGCTACTGTACATGTATTTTTTCCCCACGACTTCCATTGATGAGGAGGGGGTGGGCAGCCAGCTGAATTGCTGTGCTCTGGGCTACTTTTGTCCCGATCCACCACCTCAGCCCCTTCATTATGGGCGCGCATTTCGAGTAGGGAGGATCATCCCTCATTACATCATTCATTACTTTATTTTTAAACAAACTTTGGAATTGCAGAAAGTGACGCTTGATTTCGATGCAGAAGAGAGAGAAATTACACTGAGCGATGCGAGTGCTGACCTGTTGCAGAGCGCCGACAGGACACTCTTGTCTGGGAGAGGAACCTAAGCCAATACGTGGCTGACGCTGGGGACTGCTCTGCGACGGATCACGGAAGCCAGCAGCCGATCATGGTGATCATACTGGCCGGCACTGACAGCGAGGGGTGGAGGGCAGACAATTACACGTTACGACATCGCTAGGGTCCGTCAGCCATACGACGGTCGGTTCATTGGTGGAGGCATGGCCGGGGTGCAAGCTTCTGGAACGCTTTGAGAAGGATTCCTTATGCCATCCTGTCCGTTTGTGCATGCTCGCGCTCCGTCCTTGTGTGCAGCTAGCGTCTGGCGGCGGGGCTGCGAAAGCTGGAGTGAGTTAGGGAGATGGTGGATGGCATGGGGCTGGGCAGAGCCTTGTCGCACTTGGCATCATATCCCTCGTCGCCGGTGACAAGGCGACAAGGATCGATCCAGGAGGGTGGAGCCGCCTTCGAGGAGAGAGCCGAGAGAAATTCCAGAATCCTGCCACGTATGGCTAGAGCAATTTCCGCCAGGATGCATTGGCCATCGGCCTCTCCACGCAGCCAACCAGATGCACAGACAGGGAAGCCGAGGCGGCACCCCTGGCTCTCGCAACGGCGACAACGGAGAGGAAACGACGTTTGTGTGTTTCTCGAGGCCGTTGGCTGGGAGCTAATGACGGTGGGTGGAGTGTCATGCAAGCCTTGCGGGAAAGCGGTCATTCTCTGGCCGTCTCATCGCTGCCTGGATGCGTGACCCGTTTCTCCTGTTCGCCATTGTCACGACGTGTGGGTGTCCAACAAGTCTGGTCTGTCGTCTGCAGATGAAATGTTTGCTGCGAGAAACTCGAACGACTGACGGGGCACTAGGACGGCTAGTACTGGCAACCGGTCGATTTGGAGGCTTACTATACAACGCACATGCAAGTTGCATACGACAGACCATATGCAGCCTGTTTACGAAATACCTCTTTGTCCTGTTGTCTGAGGGCATTGGTGGCGAGATGCCAGCGTGGTCACCGTCACCCTCCAAGCGGGAACGTCTGGGTCCCCCCCAAGTATCCTGTCCTGGCGATCCGGGAGCTGAGCTTGTATATCGCACAGTGCCTACGCAATTACTCGCACGCGCGGGCCGCTCCATCTTATCTCATTTAGGATGAGAGATGTGATCGATTCCATATGCTAACCGCCATGGCGGGCACAGATGAAACGTGCGCCTGGCCGTAGCGTGTGGTGCGCTCTGCTCTGCATCTGCATCCCGTGAGCACGAGAGAGAATGAGGATCCGTGGGCAATCGCCTGCGGAATCCCAGGCCGAAATCACCAAGCTGCCAGATGAAGCCGTCGCGACAATGCAAGTGGCCCGTTTCCCGCTCCCTCGAAATAACGTGGCGCCATTAGCCCGGCCCCTATGCCGCCGGTACCTGAGGTGCGTCGCTCAGTGGTGCTGCGCCTCTGTCCGGCAGCAGTAGCATGACCTATCCGCATGATTAATAGACCATTCTATTATCCAACGTGTGCATAACGGCTATGGAGCACTGGATGTTCGTGGCATAGCACAGCCGTCCCCGTAGCATTGCATCTGGCTGCTCGTGCTAGCACTGGAGCAGTTTCTGTTCCGATTCTTTTGCTAGTCCCTACGCTACTATATTCCTTACTAACCTAGTGGTGTTATGAATGGTC